GGCAACTGCACATATGCTATGGCAAAAAACTTTAAAAAGTTATAGGACAGTTAAAAATGTAATTATCAAATTACAGGCTGGATGTTTGACAATTTTAAGGAGTGCTTGTTTTTTGTTTTTTGGGTTTTTTTTTTTTTTAGGTTTTTGACATAGGGTACATGCACTTGCTGTAGAGAAAGGGAGACAGAGACAGTGAGAGGGAAAGTGAGAAATCACAACCCAGCAGGGATGACGTCACAATTCCTTCTCCATTCTCTTCCTGGAATCTTGGGCATGCAAACAAATGCACTCAGTGCAGTTTTCAAGTCACCAGGCCCAGGATTCAAACCGTTGTTGGTCATGTGGAAGTCCAGTACTATGCCAGCAGTGCTGATTATTTTAAAGAAGGTATGATGATGATTACAGTTGTTTTAAAAGGAGTCCTTAACACTTAGGGAGACATACTAAAATATGGATGATGTATCTGGAATTTGCTTCAAAATGCTTGTGGGAGAGAGGCAGAATTGCTGGGGAAAAGGAAATAAGATTGGCTGTCAGTCAATACTTACTGAAGCTGAATGATGGGAATAGAGAAGGTCACTAAATAATTCTTTTTTTTAATACACTTGACATTTTCCATAATAAAGATTATTTCAAAATTAGTAAATGTATATACTTACATCAACATGCAAACAAATATCACAATAGGACATTTAAGAATGGACTTAAAACTAAATAATGATGTGGTAAGAGTTTGAACATTTTATTGTCTAATTAAAAGCAGCAAATTATAATTGTTAAAACCAAAATCCAGACTTCACATCACTAACTAATGTATAGTATCTTTGGCACATATTATTTGATACAATAATCCATAATAACTTCAAAAGTATTGTGTTTTTCTTTTAATTGTTCAATTCAAATCATAGTCACATTTACCTACCAGATGGACTTTCTTCTTTACCTATATGATCATAGTGGAAAAAGAGTGTACATTAGACCTTATAATGACTCACGATAGGCTTTTACCTTCTACATGTGAAAGCAGTGAAGAGAAGGTTATGCTAACCATTCGATGGTAAAAGAGACAAACAGATGCTATTCACAAGTCTCAATGCTCTGATGGCAATTACCACCTGTTCACTTCCTCTATTAGTGCTATGCATGAGAAAGAAGCCAAGAGACAGAAAATCATAGAGACATGAATCTTTACTGCAACAACTGTAGTTTAAATTCCTTTATTGAAAACATGTAACATCACAGTAATAATATGCAAAGGATATATAATTGCATGACTATCCCAGGGCTGAGATCAGATAACCAGAGCAGATTAACAAAGGTCTCATCTCTATTCTTACCTTTACAAATAGGATGGAGTAGGTGTTTACTTTGTGCAGTTGTCTTACAAAAAGAATCAACCCAGAGACATCTCATTATTCCTCATTCTTACTAGTTCAGAATTTATGTTAACTCACAACCTTAGCCTGGCTAAAGGTTTTTATAATCATGATAAAGAAAAGGATTGATCAGGGTCAAAAATGATTAAGATAGTTTGATTTTTAACTATGAAAATAAAAATTCCTCAAACTTATGTACAGAAAAAAAAAATCCTGAGAGGAGAAAAATATTCCAATATATTGGATAACAAACAGTATGTCTGAGTGACAAGACTACAGCTCTGTCTCCTTCCTCCTTTTCTTTTTCTGGGTTTTAAAATATATTTCTCCTTTAGTATTATGTATTTTATAACATTTAAAATGTTCTATTATTGTTATTTCTATATGAGAATTTTTAAAAAATTTATTAGCAGAGTGACAGATTAATAAATGTCCTTTATTTAAAATTTAAATATATTTTATTTACTAAAGCAATTCTGGAAGATATGTACTTAAATCTGTATTCAAATTATTTCAAAGTATATGTTTCCATTAAAAACATAATTCAGGCTGGTCTCTTCAAAGTATAAATTTTTGATGTGTTGTTGCAAACAGGCGCCCATTATTCTATCAATGTCACAGAAATTGACATAACCACTAAACATAACCACTTCCGTGCCTTATTAAAACCACTAGATTTTATTCAATAAAAAAAATAGTTTGCTTTCTAATACCAAGAGATTATTTTCAGTGATCATTTGTCATTTAATAACAACAATAGTAGTGACTACTGATCAGAATAAACAATTCAACCTCAAAGAGAAAAACAATGGATGAGAAAGCAAACTAAGGAACCTAATGATGACACAGCAGAGTATTAAATTTTCCTTATATGTTAAGAAACAAGAAAAGGTAAAGAGAAGTTAAACGAGAATGTTCGTAAATCAATCAAGATAGTCTGTAACTCATCAAATATAGGCCATATTAACTTGAAGTCTAAACATGACCTTCTAGAGGGAAAATATAGATGTAAACACATGTACCCCATACTAAGTTACCTTTCAAATAATTATCCAGGTTATGAGAGCCATGAGTAATGAAATCTCTTGGCTTGAGCTCCACCTACAGGTTATTCTGGACACCTCAGTTATATGTACTGCGATAAGAGAGAAAGCAAGTGTCCCAGTACAGGAAATTCTATACTGGCCTAATCATATTTGTTTTGTTTTGTTTTTTTAGAGAGAGAGATTTTTGTTGTAGGGTATGTGCATTCACCAGACAGACAAAGACAGAGAGAGACAGAAAGTGAGAAATCATCCCCCAGAGGGGATGGCCACACCACAATCCCTTCTTTTCTCCTCTCAGAATTTTGGGCATGCATGCACACACACCCAGCACGAGTTTCAAGCCTCTGGGTCTAGGACTCAAACCACGGTCAGCCCGATAGGAGTCTAGTGACATAACCATTATGCCATCTGCTTGTCCTGCAATCATAATTCTTAATACGGTGACTTCACCAGTCCTCCAACTACTCCCCACTATTCAAAAGCTTTCTGAGCCAGCTGGTGGCATGGTTGTTGAGGCAGCTGGATCCCACATGACCAACTGTGCAGTTCAAGTCTCAGACCTGGTAGCTTGAAAAATATGTTGGGAGCATGTGCATGTGTGCCCAAAATCCCAAGAAAAGAATGAAGGAGAAAGAACTGCCATGTGGCCATACCCCCTGGGTGGGTGCTTTCTCGCTTTCTTTCTCTCTCTTGTGAGCACACATACCCTATAGCAAATTTTAAAATAAAATAAATATTTTCCCAATAGCACTAGGTACCTGCTGGCAATAATTATACTAAGAGTTTCTTCAAATATTCCTGTGACTAATCAAATAATATAAATAGAAAAACATACCTCTAAAAATATAGAGAAGTATAAAATGAAAGGCAAAGTTTTAGATGAGTTTTCTCAACATATTTTTATATCCCACCCTGATGGGACCACTGTTTTGGAGGAGACATGTTTTATACTAACATTACATTATTATTCATGTTTTAGAGGACCAATAAAATTATATTAGAATTTCAGGGAGTAACCAATCAAAAGTACTCCTGTATTTTCAACCTCTACCTTACATAAATAACACTCAAAGATTTCACCATCATTTTCAAGCAAGTTTATACCTGGACTTAGGTTGAGAGAACAGATCTAAAGTTAGAGATATCAAGTGGACATTTGATATGAACATAACACAGGCTACAAATTTAGGACTGTCACTGTCATGGATGGTCATTGGGCACAAAAAGAGCGTAATTGGGGAACCAGCAGTTAGCATAATGGCTATGTCGCTGGACTCCCACGTAGTCGACCGTGGTTCGTGTCCCGGACCCAGCGGCTTAAAAACTCAGGCCAGGCGCATGTGCGTGCGTGCCCAAGATCCCGAGAGGAGAATGGAGGAGAAGGGATTGCGGCGTAACCATCCCCCCTGGGGGGTGATTTCTTGCTTTCTGTCTCTATGTCTATCTCTGTCTGTCTGGCGAGCGCACGTGCCCTACAGTGAAAATCTCTCTCAAAAAAAAAAAAAAAGAGCGTAATTGAACTCTGGGAAGGACCATCAGAAAGCTGCAGATAATGACACTTGTTACTTGGCCAAAGGTGAAGGAAAATTAGAATGTCCAGGTTACTATTATTACATCAAATGACTGGAGAAAGATGTCCTATGTGCCAGGAGAATCAGCAGAAAATGTACTTACAGGAAAAGGTATGCTAGAGAAAGGGTGAAATACTGGCAAGTTATTAAAAGTGATTTGTGTAAGGACCAACAGATGGCATAAGGGAGTTCCATACGTTGCTGGAACTCCCACATAGTAAACCATGGTTTGACCAGATCCAGTGGCTTAAAATTCATGCTGGGCGCATTTGTGTGTGCCCAAAATCCTGAGAGGTGACTGGAGAAGGCACTGTGGTGTGGCCACCACCCAGGACGGGGACTGATTTCTCACATTCAGTCTCTGTCTCTCTGGCAAGCACACATGCCCTATAGCAAAAATTTATTTAAAAAAAAAAAAAAGTGATTTGTGTCCTGCTGTGGTAGTATGTACTATAGTTAGAGAACTACTCTGTTAGGTTTCTTCAGGAGGCTCGCAGGGTCTCAAACCAGAGTATTAAAGCACCACTGTGTATACTGGGCTGGGCTTGAGGTTCATACTAAGCATATGTATCCTTTTGGTCAGAAGCTCCAACTATAACTCACCTGCCTTTACATACTTTTAGATGACATTTTTCACTCAGTCCTTGCTTTGTCATAAAAAATTCATAATATTTTATATAGTATATATGTGTATATATATATGTATAGTATATATGTATATATGTATATATAGCATAGTTAGTATGAGTGCAATTGTCTTCATATATATATATATATACACACACACACACAAGCTACTCAGACCTGGTAGCTTGAAAAACATGCTGGGAGCATGTGCATATGTGCCCAAAATCCCAAGAGAAGAATGAAGGAGAAAGAACTGCCATGTGGCCATATGTGTGTATATATGTATACATATGTGTTATACGCACACATATATACTATATAAAAAATATATACACACACATATGCACACATATATACTATATAATACACATACACACACACACACATTATGTACAAAAAAGTAAAATCAATTATCATTTCTAAATACCAAGGGCTTTTAAATGTTTCTGAAATACTGGTTTGCAGATTTTTAAGAACAAGAGCTCAATGATAAATTAAGAATAATTGAGTTTTTATTTTATTTTTGAATAGGAGCAAAAGATAAAAAGCTTTACTCTCAAATTTAAATATTCTAATTACAATTGGCCCTAATAAAAAAGTGGTGTTTTGGCAAAAATCAGAGACTTTCAGTTTAGAAAATAAAGGTTATGACAACGATTTTCTAATACTATACTGTATATACCCTTTTCAATTTATTAAATGTAATTATCAGACTTTCTACCTGGTTTCCCCTATCTACACTATTTCTACCTATATACCCATATCTAAACTCTAGCTCTACTCTCAGGCAGCTCTAGCCTGAGGCCAGGGCTTAGTCATCCCTTTGGGTCTTAACAAAGCCACCCTTCTCATCACTGCTTTTGTCAAAGAACAAGTGCTTAGAGATAGACCCACTGACCCACTCCCTTCTATTTTCAGCCAAAGAATCCCAACAGTACAGAATTCCCTCCGTTGGACCTTATGCCTAGCTGTCTGTCATGACAGCAAGGCTTTCCCAACCTGCCTCTCAAGGACACTCCCTATTATCTCTTATCACAGCTTCTTAATCTAGTATTTAGGTCTTCCTGACTTCAGATTTACTTATTTACATCAAGCAACTGTAAAAAATCATGAAGCAGTGCCTCATTAACCTAGGACTATGAAATCTTTATTTCATGGACTGTATGATAATCTAACAGAAAGTAAAAAGGAAAAACACCATTATATCACTAGAACTGGCTACTACTGCTTCATAGGAACAAAGTTGCCCTTTAATTCTGGGGCTGACTAGAGCCTGAATGTTATATTTGATTGTTAAGTAACTCAGTAATACGCATCTTTCTTTAATTCTTTAAAGATGGTGCCACAGATAAGCCCCTCTCCATCTCATGATTAGTATTCTAAATGTGATAAAATGCTCGTTTATCTCAAGACTGACCTAATTTTTTTTCAACTGAAGAGATCTCAAATCATAGGTCTATTCTAGTCTTTACAGATTAGAAATGGGGTATTTTTAAATTTTGTTTTGTTTTGTTTTGTCAGAGTATAGAGACTGGGGGAAAGGGAACTAGCAATATTATTAGTTTTCTATATTTTTCAAAAAATAAATTTCCCTTGAGTTTACATGTGAAAATAGAATGCATATCAATTTCTTAGAAAAGTAACTGAATTAAGGGGTGAGAATAAACTATAATTTAAGAGATGAAAATAGACTATGATAAGGTAAGAAGACTTGTTCTTCTATAAGCATAAGAGATGTTCAACCCCAACTATAATAACAATAAGAGATTTGACACCACAGTTGAAAACACTTCCAGTCACATTTTATGCATTCTCCCTCAGCTCCTAGGGCCAGAAAAACAGAAGTCATCAATGGAAATATGTCATGTTTAGTACTAGAAGCAGCATCACAGTTCATTGCAGAATAAAGAAAAAAATGTCAGGTAAATACATATTACAACATAAAATGCACCAAAATGAAATTGTAATAAAGTAACATCAGTGAGGTTTTAACTGAGAAATCCAGATGTAAACATTAAACTACTGCCTTCTGTAACCTAGTCAACCACACAAATAAAAATCATCTTTTGTGCCCATAAAATTATGAATAATTTGTACACCATGGCTCTTTTGTCTTAGTGATTTTGCAGAGTACACAATGAGCTGTGTTAAGTAGCTTCACTGATTTCTCCGTCTTGAAGAGCTGTCAGTTCTGGAACGTCATTCATCCTTAGAACCTCCGCATAAAGCAAATAATTATGGAGGCTTCTGGGAAGTGGCAACTGACAGATAAAACTGTCAGATTTTAAGTGTTCTGGTTTAAGACTGGACCGGATTTCCAAACGACAAAGATGGGTCAGGGATGGAATGGAGGCTGGAGAAACAAACAAAAGAAGCAAAGTGAAACTTTTATTTTATGTTTATTTAATTTCTTTTCAATTGCCAAAGTGTACATACATTTGCCAAAAAGAGACAGAAAAAGGGGGGGAAGGGGACCCTCCCAATGGGGTATGGTCACGTCGCAATCCTTTCTCCATCCTGTTGAGATCTGGGCCACATATATGATCCTGGTGTGTTTTTCAAGCTGCCAACGCCAGGAGTCGAACTGTAGTCATCCATGTAGGATCCAGTTCCTTTAACCACAGGCAACAGGGGCCACCCCAGCAAGGTGAAAATTTTTTAAACAGAGATATAATAGTGCATCAAGGTAAGTGTCCACCACCCCATCTCTATGTAGAGATGTGTTGTGTTGCTTTGACTTACTTTGAAAGACTACTTAGCACAATTAGTCTTATTTGTTTATTTTTTTCTATAGCCTTCACTGGTCTCCTCCCACTCCAGTTGTTGGCCACACATTCAAAGTCAGTACTCAGGGCCACAAAGACTAAATGTTCAAATTTTAAAGATCTATACTACCAGATAGCACTTAAGAAATAGATGAACTAACTTTAGAAGTGACAGAAGCTCACAGCAATAAACGCTACATCCCCTCTTAGTCTGTTTCATTGCACATGGTCTCCAGACCTAGCACATCAAGTGAATGGATATAACTTGCAAAGTTTCCCTCTTTTATCCATGACATAGAATGAAATTTTAAAACTAGCACAGAGAGAAAAGGGGCATCTTACTGAGTGCCTTCTCTGCCATATGCCCATACACTTCACATATACTCTCTTTATATTCATTAATCCTATGAGGTATACATTATTATGCTGTCAGGAGATAAGAAAACAAAACTATATAAAAAGTTTAAGTAACTGTCTAAAGTTCACAAGACTAGTAAGTGCAAGAGCCAGATCTATCTGATCTCAAAGACTGTGTGCGTGTGTATGTGTGTGCGCGCATGCACGTGCACATGTGCTAAAGCCATCACAGCCAAAACTAATTACCAAGAAGCCTAAAAGACAAGTACTGTCAAGAGCACAGCAGATACCAGACCAGCCAGTATGATTATAAGTCTAGGGTTCTTTAAATTCTAATACCCGATAGGACTGAGACAAACTAATTCACTTATATCTTCAAATGAAGATAACTGAAGTTAACTCAACATCATAAATTTTGGTTCATTGGTTTAAGTATTTTTTAATAGTTTAAGAAACTCCTTGGGGCTGGCAGGTGGTGTGCTGGCTAAGGGTGCTGGACTCCCACATGGGTGACTGTGGTTTGAGTCCTGGACCTGGTGGCTTGTTTTCTCACCCCCCCCGCCCCCCCGTCCCTCTCTGCTCAAATTAAAAAAAAAAAAAAGAAGAAGAAGAAGAAAGAAAGAAAGTCCTCAAACTAGAGTTTCAAAATGACAAATAAAGCAAAACAGTTATTTGATTTTGTACTTAAAACCTGATCTAGGAAAAGATGGGCATTTTCCTTAAACCACGAGTCACAGACACCCTATTATAAATAATGAGATTGCAGCATCTATAATATATTTACCTCCAAAGTGCTCTCATATTCATATCTTATTTAAATTTTTTTTTACCCTTTTCCTATAAGCTTAGAAGAGGAATCATTGTTCTCAGGTGAAGTACAGGCAAACACAGGTAGGGCAGCACTGGCGGAATTAGCAGGGATACACAAGAAAAGCATGCCCAAATTGCTAATGTCAGGATAGTAGTAGTCCAAAGGTAATAGGCTGACTATGTTCGAATATCAAGTACAAGGAAACCCTCTAGGGGCCAACAAGTGGCATAGTGGTCAAGGCGCTGGACTCCCACATGGCTAACTGCAGTTCAAGTCCTGGACCTAGTGGCTTACTTTCTCACTTTCCCTCTCTCTTCCTGTGTCTCTCACTGATCAAATTAAAAAATAATAATACTACATAAAAATAATACTTTTTTTAAAAAGGAAGACCTTTTACCCAATAAGATCAGGAACAATAACTGGCCAGTTAGTGGAAAGTTATCTTAAAGCAAGTAACCAAAAACATTACACATTTTAAACATTCTATTAGGTTGTCAGGAAAGTCATGACATGTTTTTCTATGCAAACATGCATGATGACTTTACTGATGACCTATAATTTAAAACATATACATGAACCACATCCATAAGGTATCGTGTATAGCTTGTGATTTCACTTTCTTTAAGTTACAGCATGGATTTAAAGACAGTGTATGGGCAAAGATGAGTGCATCATCCTTCTATAGTTTTAAAACTTTTTTAACACCTTCTATTGTCTCACTCATATCTCATTTAACAGCCATTTCTGTTTAGTACCCATCTTTTATCAAGTCTTTTTAAAGCATTTAACTCTACCTTAATAGAAACAATGATTCTTTATTTACACTCATAATTCATTGGCTTATGCAATTTAAAATGATAAATTATTTAACTACAATAATGTGCACAAATGTAACAAAAGTTTTAGAAATAAATATAACTGATTCTTGCTAAGCACACCTCTTGCTCGTAGGAACAAAAGAAAATATGCTGACATTCTAGAGAGTAGCCTACCAGTTGTAAATGTGGAGCATGCCATATGCACAATCACATGGGACTGACAGGAGACAAGACTGGTTGATCAGTTAATGGGTTAAAATGAAGTTCCTTAAGAGAATTTCCACTTATATTAAGTTTCATATGTATCCATTAAATTGAGTCTCTTTATTCTACACATTCTTGTTAATGTGGATACTTATTACACACCCAGAGTGAAAATAAAAGTGAGCTGTGGCAACCCAGAAGTACTGCTCATTCAGGGAGAAGGAGGGATCCTTAATGCTTCTCCAGCTTTTCTGCTTGGACAAACTATACTGATTTGACACTGCTAACGTTGCATAGGAAAGAATTCCTCTATTGCCCCAAAGTCTCTTGCAGTGCTGACAAGCCTTTCCAGGTTATCTAAATACATCACTGGAGCCCTATATTTAAAGCTTAATAAATACTTTGCTTATGCTAGTGTGTGTGTGAAAGCTAGTCATTTGTGATCAAGCTATATTGGGCCATTCACATTTGTTAAGAAAAATTTAAGAGACTTGTGTCTGCAACATTATACATCAACAACATAGCTGTTGTTAACTAGATCCAAATGAGTTGACTCCAAGTCTAGAGTTTTTGAATTGTGATAAAATAATTCTCTAACATCTCCTAAACCACTAAAACTATGATAAGTTTCAGAAGATCTTTCCACTTAAAAATAATAATAAAAAATAAGGGTATAATTACTTCAAATATTGGCTCCAATTTTAATTGTACCATCTTGGTTTTCCTCCTAAGAGCACAAGAGGTCACTGGCCTAATGAACAATCAGAGGTAAGAACTGTGCTCAACAGAACTGAGGAAGTCTTTCACCTGTAGATTATTAACACAGACAATAATATGCCTGTCAGTGCCAATTTTTGTTTATTATACCAAAAAATACCAAGGGAATTTTATAACTATATATGCATTATTTCAAAGCATGCAAAATTTCTATGAACATTTTAGTGAGCATAGTGTTTCCAGATGTGTTGCCACTGGGCTGAAAGAAGATCAAGCCATGCCTTAAATTTATAATATGAAAAAGCTGCAAAAGAGCTATGTAAAACGAGATTTTAATATGTTAAATAAATCTCTATGTTCTTAGATTACAGCAGTGATTATAATTCAGAAAATTATGTCTGAAACCATGCTACATTTTAAAGTCACATTTCCAACCCAAACATTTTCTATTTGGTATGGTAAACTCAGTTTATCTATAAATTAGCAGATAAACAACCTTTAACTTTTCATTCTTAGAGTTCTTCAATTTTGTTTATTATATACACTGATGGAAAAATCAAAATAGAATAATACATGTTATGTGAAATTTTTTTCTGTAACTGCCAGATGGCATATGCTCTCTCCAGAGAGAAGGAGAAAACACCTACTGATAGAAATATGTCATTTCTCCCTCCTGTAAGGATTTTAGGCATGTGCCCAGTCTATTTTTTTTTTTTTGAGAAGTTTTTGCTATAGGGCGCGTGTGCTCGCCAGACAGAGAGAGACATAGAGACAGAAAGCAAGAAATCACCCCCCAGGGGGGATGGTCACGCCGCAATCCCCTCTCCTCCATTCTCTTCTCAGGATCTTGGGCACGCATACACACGCACCCGGCATGAGTTTTAAGTCACCGGGTCCAGGAGTGAACCACAGTCGACTACATGGGAGTCTAGCGACATAGCCATTACGCTAACTGCTGGTTCCCCCAAGTCTATTTTTCAAGTCACAGGGGGCTGGATTTGAACTGCAGGTGACCATGTGGGACCTGGCTCCCTTAACCACTAGGCTATGAGGTCAGTCCTGAGAATATTTATTAAAATCAAAGCAGACACAGTTATCAAAATAAACCAACAATTTTTTTTTAAATTTTTTAAGAGAGATTATTGCTATAGGGAATGTGTGCTTGCTAGAAAGACAAAGATAGAAAGTAAGAAATCACCACCCCCAGGGCGGTGGCCACACTGCAATACCTTTTCCTCCATTCTCATCTTGGGATCTTGTGCATGCATGCACACATGCCCAATGTTAAGTTTCGAGCTGCCAGGTCTGGGAGTTGAACTGCAGTCGGCCACTTGGGGATCCAGCACCTTAACCTCCATGCCACCTACTGGCTCCAAATCCAACAATTCTTAATTCACTTTACTTATTAGTGCTAATTTACTACAGCACAGAACTATATCTATGTCATACATACACATTTTATTTTCCACAATATTCATCTCTAGCCTTCTCTTAGGTCAATGTTCAAATGATCTACAATATCCATCTGGATTCTATTTCTCTGGTTCTTTCACATTGCTTTCCACATCAAATATATTTATTTGATCTCTTGGCCATATATTGTCATTTATATTTTCATCACTAATAAACTGTCTTTTTGGATGGCTTCCATTCTTTTGTTACCAATTTTTCTTAATTTATTTATATAACCTTTCTCCAACTAATTATAACTAAAAGCCTATTGAGAAAATGTTAAAAAAAAAAAAAAGAAAGAAGAAAAAAGAAAAAAAAACCAACTACTTGAGAACTCAGAAAAATACGTAATAGACAACTGGAGAATGATCAGAATAATTTCAATGAGTGGAATGAACAGAAAAGGCATTATCCAGTAATAAGTCCCATATTGGCATCAAGGAGCCACTATGAACTGGCTCTAAGACTGTGGGCACGTCATTTAAATATTCTGACCTTCAGTTCCTCCTCTATAAAATGAGCATAGTGGAGACCAGCAGATGGTGTAGTAGTTACATTGCTGAACTCCCACATGGCTGACTGAGGTTTGAGTCTCAGATCCAGTGGTTTGAAAATCACACAGGTCGTGTGTGTGCATGCCTGAGATCCCGGGAGGAAAATATAGACAGGATTGCGGTGTGGCCATCCCCCGGGGGGGGAGAGGAGGGTGTTGATTTTTTACTTTCTCTCTCACTGTCTCTGTCTCTGTCCTTCTCTCTCTCTCTCTGGCAAGTCCACAGTCCTAATAATCAAACAAAAAAATTAGCATAATGCCTTATGTGTAAAGTGGGCATAATAATGCTTCTCTACAACAAAAGTTTATTGACAAGGTTCAAGTTGGAACGCATTTGTAAATGCAGTTTAGAAACTATAAAATATCATACAAATTCTAGGCCCTATCAAATCTAGTGATCACCAAGAGTTTTGACTACACATCCAATTAGTAAAAAGTTTTAAGGCACAGAAACCCAATATGTGCATATTTATTTATTTAGATGTAAATTATATGTATGCTATTAAACTAACATTATTAGTGATATAAACAGAAAAAATAAGTTAAAATAAGATATATGTTTTAAATAACTTCATTTCTTTATTAAAAGTATAAAATCCCTTTAAATATTAATATTTAACAAGAGCAAGGCAACAGATTAAGCTTTATTAATTTAATTCTTAGTAATCCGGCAATTCCAATAATTGTCTCTAGGTCGAGTTTACTTTGACACTTGAGTTATAGTGGCTGAGATAGCTAAAAAGTATCTTGCAAAAGAAAGTAGATCATATAGAAGTACCATGTGGCTTTGCAAAACTAAATCAGGATTCTATTCTATCCTATCTACCAATTATAAAGAGGTTTTTATCAAAATTTCTATTTGTCCTATCATCAATCAGTTCATAGATAATTGAATGCATTTAATAATTATTAAATGCATTCAAAAAATGCATTCAAAAACCAGTAAAAATGTTCCCAAGTATTTCAAGAATGTCAATATGAGAGCTATTCTAGGTGACATGCATTGTTTTAGGCAAGGAAATCACATAATAATAGAAATATTTCCCAGTGCCTATTTTCAAAATCACCTCCACATAGCAAAAGTTTTTTTCAGAAAGCAGTGTCTTCCTCACTCAGTTGAAATATCTTCTTTTCCTAAAATCAACAGAATTTTTAGGAATTATGTGCTAAGTAACATAGTTCTAGTAGCAATTTTTTTTTTTTTAATTTTTGCCATAGGGCACATATGCTCACCAGAGAGAGACAGACAGTGAGAGAGAAAGTGAGAAATCACCCCCTAGAGGGGATGGACTTGCTCAATCCCTTCTCCTCCATTCTCCTCCTAGAATTTTGGCCACACACCCCCACACACCCAGTGTGACTTTTAAGACATCAGATCTGGGACTTGAACCATGAGGTGCCACATGAAGTCCAGTACCTTAACCACTATGCCACCTGCTGGCCCAGTACAGATAGCAATTTATCACCAAGGGAAAAAAGGTCCAAAAAGTTGGAATAGCTGTATTTTTGTAAGTTAAAAAAAAATGTGTGATTCATTGATAAGTTGAAGGACTCTCATATGTTGTTTTACAGACAATAAGCAAACTTCTGGATATATAAATAATAATCACTCCCACCTTATTATAAAGTACTATAAAGAGTCTAATATATTTTCGAAGTAATATTTTTGTTTAATTATCCACCATGATACTACTCTGCAATTCTGGTTTCAGCTCTTCCTGTGTTAACATGACTATTAATGATGCAATAAACTCATTTATATATGGTGTCATCTCCATTATCTTACACTTACAGAAAAGGCAGCTACTCTATCAGTGGTCATTCTTATTTAGCTTTTCAAAAAAAACCAACATTCTGTTGAATAAGTCATTACCATCGCAAATATATCTCCTCTGGTACATCTTTCTTTTAATAGCTCTGTGGAAAGTAATTGTCCAGCCAGCTTCATAGCCTAGGGTTAAGGGAGCCGGATCCCGCATGGCTGATTGTAGCTTCAATTCTGGTTCCTGAGGCTTGAAACACAAGTCATGCAGCTCTACAATTATTTTGTTGATTTACTTATACTTTCAGTGGTATTCACATAAAATACTATTCTTTGCAGAAATCTTTTTAAGCCACTTCATCAATTTGTAAGGACTGGGTAAGTTAAAACTATATAATATAATCATAGTAGCAATGATTATAGTCCACTGAGCAATCATGTGTGAACTAAGATCCATTAAAGTACACCAGTGTGGTTGCAGACTCAACTCCATGCACTGTCTTTGGGAAGCACTGACCTACCCCACATGAACACAGAGGTGGCCACGTGTGCTACATGTGGAAGCAGGGGTGTGACAAATGCTCAATTCCTTTTTTTTTTTTTTTTTAGAGGTTTTTGCCTTAAGGCATGTGTGGTCAACAGAGAAATAGAGACAGAGACAATGAGAGGGAAAGTAAGAAATCACTCCCCACCCCAGGATGAGATGCCACAATCCTTTTTCCTCCATTTTCCTCCCGGGATCTTGAGGAGGCATGCAGACACACCCAGCATGAATTTCAAGTCACCAGGTCTAGGACACAAACTGCAGTCAGCCATGTGAGAGTCCAGCAATGTAACTGGTACTCCATCTGCTGGCCCCTACAATTCCTATAACTTCACTAGTAGAGGGAAGATAAAGTGAAAGGAAACTTTTCATTGGTGACCAATTACTCCTTCCTCTCCTTGACCTTTAGAATGCCTCTCTGAAGCCTGGAATATTTGAGGAATAAGTAAAATTATCCAGAGAAGAAGACTGACTCCTCCATTGGAGCTGAAAACTAGTGCTTTCAGGGACGAAAAGTAATGAAGACTTTCTGCTGAGACTTCACCCTCCAGACCCCATTTTCGAGTGCCTCCATACGCTGAGTGTCTAAACAGGTCTAAGTGAATTGTAGCCAAACATCTGAATACTATTATTAGGGTCAACATATTCCTCAATTCCCACTGAATGTGCTGCATTCAGTGAAAAACGGAATGGCAAAGAGATTGCAGACCACCTCCTCCTGCATGCCTCTGAATGCTCAGATTGAACTTCTAGAAATTAGGAAAAAAATGTATAACCCACCAGATGACTAGAAACCACCACAGAGGTGACAAGAAATATGAGAAACCAAGAAAATACCTCTCCCCCAAGGGAAAGAAAAACTCCTCTTCATCCACAGACAGCACAGTGGAACTCATGGAAATGTCTGATAAAGACTTCAGAATATTCATAGTGACAAAGCTAACAGAGATGCAAAAGAAGAGAGACAATTAACTCCAGAAGAGGCAGGAGAAAAGAGCCAATGAGTACCAGCAGGAGGTGAGGAAGTTCTTACATGATCTGAGACTAATTTTTTTTTATTTGTTATTTTGTTTTTGGTTTGTGTCATAAGGCACATGCACTCACTAGAGAGAAACAGAGACAGAAAGACAGTGAGAACTCACCCCCCAGAAGAGATGGCCATGCTGCAATCTCTTATCCATTCTCTTCTCAGGAATTTGGGCACACATGCACGAGCACCCTGTGTCATTTTCAAGCCACCAGATCCACAACTGAACCACAGTTGGTCATGTGGGAGTCAAGTGCCTTAGTCAACATGCTACCTGCTGGCCCCAAGACTAATGTTTTTTTATAAATTGATTTTAAAAACATGCTCTCAAACATGGCTTTCTGATTTTCTCAGCAGAGGAAATGAGAGCACAGAGTATGCATACTCAATGGTTTGTTTCAATCACTTATCCCAGTCACAAAACAATCAAGGATGAAAAATGCAGTTTTTCTGTTTCAATGAAAGTAGAATAAAGCAGAACTCAGTTAACTGAGGTCTGTCTCTGACACAATAACAATATTGTGAAAATGGTATGAGGTAGATAGTTATTATTATCCCTTCTTATAGCTGTGGAAACCAAGTAACTTCTCCAAACCTAGAAAGTGGTAGAAGCCTATCTATTTAATTCCAGAGTTCTAACCTTTAGTCATTATAAGTTGCCTGGTGTCCCCAGTAGAACATACACTAGATCATTATCTTGAGAGTTAAAATCAGCTAAGAAGGTAAAATTTTTCAGCAGTATAAAATGAGGTCTGTACCCTAACTCTCTCTTTTATTTTTTTTTTTAAGTTTTTGCCTTAGGGAATATGCACTCACCAGTGAGAAGCAGAGAGAGAGGGCAAGTGAGAATTCACACATACACAGACACACACACACAAAACACGTGCAAGGAGGATAGCCATACTGCAATCCCTTTTCCTCCATTAGCCTCTTAGGACTTTGGGCACACACACCCTTGGTGTGATTTTTACGCTGCCAGGTCTGGGACTTGAAGCACAGTCGGCCATTTGGGAGCTCCAGCGCCTTAACCGTAACTACCATGCCACCTACTGATCTCTTAACTCCTATCATTTTAACAAATAACTTAATAATATGTTATCAATTGAGTAAAATGCATGCTTTTACTAAACACACACATAAATAATATACAATGCATATATATTTTTTTCTTTAAAAAATTATTCCCTTAAATGAGAAATGACTAATGGAATGTTAGTTATTACCAAAAAGGATTACAATTACAGATCAACTATCTTAAGTTTTCAAGATAGTTTTTTAACTTTCAATCTCCTAAAATAAGTTACCATATGTAGTAACCTTGGAGTAATAATTTATCTTGAAGGGTACATGAGAAAAGACCATTGTCCAAAACTAACAGCACCGCTCAAGTTTGGTTTTTTTTTTTTTTTTTTGAGAGATTTTCACTGTAGGGCGCGTGCGCTCGCCATACAGACAGAGAAAGAGAGACATAGAGACAGAAAGCGAGAAATCACCCCCCAGGGGGGATGGTCACGCCGCAATCCCTTCTCCTCCATTCTCCTCTCGGGATCTTGGGCACGCACGCACACGCGCCCAGCGTGAGTTTTAAGCCACCGGGTCTGGGACACGAACCGCGGTCGACTACATGGGAGTCCAGCGACATAGCCATTACGCTAACTGCTGGTTCCCAGCACCGCTCAAGTTTCATAGGAAACTTTGGCTTACACTCTGAACACTTGCTCATCCCACTATATTTAGGAAGAAATGTTCCTTGAGCTTACTGATAGAATACTTTAGACTTTTTTCCCTCCACTTTTTAGATCAACTGTTTCTTAAAAATATAATATGTTTTCAACTCAACTTGCAACACAAAACAGCTGTTCTCTGATACTTCTTTGGTAGTATAATTTTCAATTCATTGCTACCTATTACTATTTAAAATTGAATTGAGAGATATAATATTTAGAGAGAACTGCTCAAAGGGCATATTGGCCATCCATTTTTTAGATATTCTAAAACCTAGCCCTTCATCAAGGATAATAATCTTTTTTTAAAGAATTATTTATTATTATTATTCAATCTGAATAGAGAGAGACAGAGACAGAGAGAGGTGAGTGAGATAATAAGTTGCCAGGTCCAGGACTCAAACCACAGTCAACTCTGTGGGAGTCCAGCACCTTAACCACCATACCACCTGCCGGTCCAAGGGTAATACTCTTTTAATATTTTAACTTTAATCAATTTTGTTGCCCCAGCAATAGCAACCTAGGTATTTGAACCAAACCATACTCACCAGTTAAGAAGTGCTTTTACTGAGTTGTACTTTGGTACGGTAACAACAGTCTACACTGAAGACTGGTAAAATCAAGTCCAAATAAACCACAGCTACCAAGATGTTGTCTGTGAACCAATAATAGCATCCAAGAATATCTGTACTTCTAAGCAACAGGTTTCTTTTCTCTTATGAACCCTGTTCCTAGTGTCAATAGCTAGAGAGCTCAGAGCCAAATCCATAGCCTATTCACAGACCATGACTGTGTACTCCCTGACTCCATTTTACACCCATCCTACCTTTACTTTTCACTTCTCTTTTTCTGCTACTTTTAACTTCTGTTTTGTGTAAATTTAAAAAAAATCTTTTTAGAACAAAGCAGTAGAACACTGGCATAAAAAGATCAAGAGGGTTTCCTGGGGCCCTTTTAGAATCCTTTGTGGGATCCAGATTCATTTAATACTCTGAACAGAATTACATATATTTGATCATTAAAGGTTCAGAATGAACTAAAGTCAAATGCTTTCATCCACAAGAATTTAATTACTTAAATTTGATTTTGGTTGGGTGACCAGGAGTTGGTGAATATTTTTGATTAATAAGACCACAGCTATGTGGTTTGACTGATATTTCTAAGATGTATATATAAGACACATGATTAAAAGATTGTTTCTAAAACTGCAACCACTCAATAAATTTTACCTGGTATATATGTCTTTTCTGATGCAAGAAAGGTTTTGAAGACAAACCTAACCCAATGATTAAAAGATGAGCAGCAAGAGACTGGTTGTCACTTTTGTTTATAAACCACAGCAAGCGGCTACTTCTTTAGGAATGAAAAAGGATAAGGAAAAGGAGAATTCTGACCAAGTATATGGCATCTATAGGACCTAAAAAGGACAGAAAAAAAATATAGAGAGAAGGGCCAGCCCAATAGCACAGTGGTTAAATGCCCTGCATTGGGAACTGCATTCCACATGTCCAACTGATGTTTAAATCCCAGCCCCAGCAGCTTGAAAACTAGTGTGTGAATGCCTCAAATCTTGACAGGATGGAGATACAGGGGAAAATATACTGCAGCATTACCATGCCCCATTTTGGGGGAGGTGCTTTCTCCCTCTCTCTTCTCTCTCTCTCTCTTTCAGGAGCTCATGCACCTGACATTAAAAAATAATTAAAAGAAAATATTAGAGAAAAAAGCTTTTCCTGGGATATATATTAATATACTTAATGGAGTTAGGGAACTGAGAATTACAGAGAGAGTTACCAACAGTGACAAAGCTACGAGAGGCATCTTTCTAAAAATTTTTGAAGGAAATATATTGACAAGAAGCAGTTGTTAATACTATAAATTATTTGCAATAGAAAGGTAAAAACAAAGTGTCTTATGTGGAGAGAGGCCATCAAAGAGTTGTCCTTCTGGGATTACTCCCATTGGTGTTAAAGCTCTGAACATGCTTCTGCTTACTAGATATTCCACAGTTCAAAATCTAAGTAAAGGAGAGAGTACAGGTAACCAATGCATGGAAATTGAGTGTCCTGAAAACTGGAGAGAAAAAAGGTGCAGCAAGGCAGCCATGAACTATGGAAGGGAAAAGAATCATAATCCCTTTGAATCTCAGTAATGGGTAGACCTTTTCCTCCTAGTCTGAAATCACAGTACTGTAATTACTGAACCCAGTATTGTAATGGTTCCTACTATCTGCAGAAGAAACACTGAAGAATATCTGGACAGACCGACATAAGCTTTTCCTAACTACTTTGTGATAAGAAGAGGGTTCAAAAGCCCTCCCAGGACAAAAAGTCTTCTTCTGAACAACACAAGAGTCTGTGGATCAGGATTTCCCAACTTTGTCACTAAAGACATTTGTATTTGGATAATTCTTGTCATGGGAGGCCATTCTATGTGTCACAGGGTGCTACACAGAATTCCCAGACTCTGCCCCATAGATAGCAATGGCATCACTACCAGCTGCAACAACTGAAGACTCTTTATAGACATTACCGAATAACCTTTGAGGGATGGAAAGCAAAAATCACTCCTAAGGAAACCAACACTGTGGATGAAACAAATCACAAACACCTGCAGGGTTAACTTACTTTCTTGGAAAATAACACTCCCAAACCACCTAATCTAAAAGAATCAGGAAACAAGCAAAAGGAAAAGGAATAGCTGTAGGAAAAAATAACATGTTCACTTTGGGCTATGTCTAAATGTGGGATATACCAAGTGGAGATGTCCAAAAGTTGGATACGTGAGTCTAGAACCCAAAAAATGAGGTCTTGGCTAGAGAAACAGACCAAAAGAACATTAGCTACAGTAATACAGCTGAGAAATGGTTTTGCAAATCTTTAGCCAACATAAAATCCTCTTAAGAGATGATTATTTCCTTACACAGGATCTACCTGGTGCCTAATTAAACCAGAAGTCCTTGATGGATTTAGTCTACTGCAGGGTAATGTACTGATGCACAATTTTTACCTTCATATGGACAAATTTGCCATATGTTAAGGTCTTCAGAGTAAACTCTCACATATCTTTGCTAATTAAAACATTGCAATAATTTTCCCACTTGGCATATGTTCTTTCTTTTGACTCCTTGTTCCCAAATCCATCATCCCATATTCTATCTGTTCTGAATAGACTTTTATTCTCTGCTGATGTAAATACATAATTAGTAAAAGAGGATGCAATTTTCAACATTAAGAATTACATGCAAGTGAGTTTTTTAACATTACTATTAAAGAAACTCTATACTAGAAGACTCAGAGACTCCAAACGGATTACCTCTTTTCAACAGAAGAAAAGTTTGAATACACCTAAGTTCAAGAGCATATTTTCCTGAATACCTGCTTTTGATTGAAAAAATTTACTTAAATGTAATTTTCCAAGAAATTAGAAGATACATTTCTAAATGTGTAAGTTAACTTGTTAAAAAAAATTCAAAATATTTTATGAAAGGTAATGTTTCACGTAAAAAAAAGAGTAAAGAAACAATTTTCCTAACTTAAGACATATAATCCAGCTAAAACATATAGTCAAAGTAAACTAAATATTAATAAGTAAATAGGATACTTTGCAAATATTATGTTTAAATTAGTTTGCTTGTGCAAAATCTTCCTCCACAGTGAGTTAATTTTAACTACTGAAAATTTTTTATTAAGGATAAGTTGAAAAAAAATTTTAATAGTTACTTAAGATATCAATTGAGTCACAGAATTTTCATACAGCTCACCTCCATAGTTATACCAACAAACTGGCATACATTCAGTAAAGACAGTTATCGTAAGGGATACTAATGTTTCCTTATAGAGATAATTAAATAATACAGAGAAAACATAAATCCATACACATTCCAAAGTGGAAAATTAAGTTTAACATTTTTCCGACCATGAACTATCAAATAAATAGATTTTTAGGACCCACTCTTATTTATATAATACTTACTAAATATAAAAAGATATCATTAAAGTTTCAGTAAACATCTGCTTTTCTTTATATGCTCCTTAGACTAAACTTATTGAAGGAAATTAATATCATTCTACCCCATAATTCTATTTTGCATATAAGAAAATGCAAATTATGTCCAATTCAATGTGTTCTCCATTGAATCTTTTCACTTAAAATTAAAACAGAGCTAGAGAAGCAAGAGGAGAAAAAGTACTGAAGCATGTTTAATAGCTGTTCATTCTTACCAATATGTTGCTGAAGAATCCAGGAGTTTGTAGCACGAGTGGCAAGCATCTTTTCGACAGCTGGAGGAAGTCTTTTCCAATTAGTAAACTCCAAAGTGAAGATAAGGGTGTCATCGCTGACTGAGTCAATCCTGTATTAGCAGGATGTTATCATGCCATTAGACACAAGTATACCAAGGGTTTTGCCTACAAACACACACCACACATATATTTTTATAAAAATTTGTTTTTAATAATTTTTAATTAATTTGTTTAAAAATTAGTGTTCATTCACCAGAGGAGAGAAGCTGAAAGAGAAGCAAAGTGAGAAAGCACCTCACAAGGGGAATAGCTACAGTGTAACCCCCTTTATACCCAGTATGTTTTCCAAGCCACTGGGTCTGGAACTTGAAGCTTATAGTTGGCCACCACAAGTGGGATCCAACAATTTTAACTACCACATCACTCACTGACTTTTTTTTTTTTTTTTGAGAAGTTTACACTATAGAGTGTGTGTGCTCGCCAGAAAGACAGAGAGAGAAAGAAAGACAGAAAGTGAGAAATCACCCCCCAGGGGGGATGGCCACACTGCAATCCCTTCTCCTCTCAGGATCTTGGGCATGCATGCACATGCACCCAGCGTGAGTTTAAAGCTACTGGGTCTGGGATATGAACCAGTCGACTACATGGAGTCCAGTGACACAGCCATTATGCCAATTGCTGGTCTCTTGCTGACTCTCTTATAACATCCAAATGAAGAATGTAAACAGACAACTAGAGCACAGAAAATAATCATCTAATTGGAGGGAAGTCCAGTAGATATAATCGATTATTTATAGGTTCTCACTGGAAGTAGAACTGACTGTGTATAGTTGCCCCCAAATTGACAAGAATCTCTATTCTTTTGGAGAATAGGAACTTTCTTTACCATTGGAGACAGTATCAGTGTTATCAATGGATCTGCTATTATCTCTTCCAAAATAGACCATTTTGCCTAACGTAGAGTGGTCATCCTTACAGACACATAATTTAATACCCCCCGCAAAAAAGCCCAAATAGCCCAAGTTATTTCTAAACTAAATGTACAAGAGTACACACTTTTTCTGCCTAGGATGTAAACCTTCCCCATTACAGACTGAGACCTAAAGAATTTACCAGAATAAGATTTATCTGTAAAGACTTAAGAAAGGGTTCCAGACAACTCTTTCTTAGTGCTTTCAAAATAATGTCAGATTTTCAACCAACTTTCCTAAATGTTTAAGAACACAAAGAACATCAGTTTAAGAAAGATCCTGATTTCACTTTCTTTCCTTAGCAAGAGACAGAGGGGGATGGAAAGAGAGAGAGAGATAAACACCCTGCAGAGTGTCTGGTCACACTGCCAACCCCTTCCTCCAGCCCTCCAGCCCATAGGATCTGAGGCACTTGCACTAGGCTGATATTCAAACCATGGTCACCATGTAGCATCCAACTTTGAGAGTGGGATGGAAGGAAAGCACCCCAATGAGGCATGGTCACACCACAATCCCTTCTCCTCCATTTCTCCATCCCTTCAGGATTTGAAGTATACATGCAATGTGTGCTGGATGTGTTATACAAGCCCATCATGGACGGAAATCAAACCACACTGAGTCATATGGTATCCAGCTCCTAATGCAAAGAGCTCAACTACTGTCCTATGGAGACAGCCTGATCTAACTTCTCTTGAGCATTGCCTTATCTCTGTACCATGGAGCCAGCCCCAAAAGTCCTTATTTCTAAAACCACCTCTATTATTACAAACATGTTGCCTGAACTTGGAGCCATAATTCCTGCTCTCTAAAATGAGATTAATATATAATCTGCTTATTTCAGGGGACTATTTGTGAAAATTATATGATATGATATAGTAAACATATTTTTAAAACTACAAACACCTGGGACCAGCAGTTAGCATAATGTCTATGTTGCTGGACTCCCACGTAGTCGACCACGGTTCAAGTCCTGGATCCGGTGGCTTAAACTCACGCTGGGCGCGTGTGCGTGCGTAACCAAGACTCCAAGAGGAGAATACAGGAGAAGGGATTGCAGTGTGGCCATTCCCCCTGGGGGGTGATTTCTCACTTTCTATCTCTCTGTCTCTCTCTTTCTGGCGAGCGCACATGCCCTATAGCGAAAACCTCTTAAAAAAAAAAAAAAAAAACCTACAAACACCTGATTTTACCGATCCTAGAACTGATTTAAAAACTTTAGTTATTAGGCCCCTGCGCAGCCGCGCGCTGGAACGGCCCGGCCCCCCCCCTCCGGCGGGGGCGCGGCAGGGGGCCTGGCCTCCCTGGCCTCTCCAGCGCTGGATGGCCCGGCCGAAAACAAGGTTGAAGAACTTGCAACTTGAGAAGATGACAGTTACCAGCCCTGCATTACCTCAGGGGAAAACAAGAACTACTCTGCCATTCTTAAGGAAGCCAGATACCCAAGGACAACTCACACTGCAGATCCCCACAACACCATTCCTGGTAACTACAAGATGACTGCTGTGCCGCATCAGCTGATAATCATCCCTGCGTACCAGAACTGCTTTCCTGAAACTGCATTCCCTGGAGACTCACCTACACTTGTGGATCTGCAGGAGACCCTCCCTTAATCCAACCCTGAGTGGAGTTTATGCTCCCTATTGCCAAAAACTTTATGAGCTGATGGTTGGAACTCGTGGCCTCTCTCCCTTTACTTGTATGTATCACTTTTTCAGTAACTCTTCTGGAAGACAACTGTATATAGCAGGGATATTGTAATGGGAGAGTGAGACAGGGCAGAGGGACAAACATAGGAAAAAAAAT